AAATGTGGATTTATTTAAGAGTTTATAGTGTAATTTAATTAATTTGAAGTGAAAAAAGTGAATAAAGTGTGTTTAAAGTGGTGAAATAGCAAATGTTCGAATTTTTCGAATTTTTTAACCTTAAGGTCGAATATCTCGTAAACTAAGCGTTTGGGGTACCTATAACCCTATATATTTTTTAATCAGGAGGACTTCCTATTTCCAACGGTACCTTCAAATCGCGGCGCCAAAGAAACCGGAATTGTGCCGCTAATTTTTCTGCATCTGTGCTATGGACTTTTATATTTGTATAAAAATATGGTTTTGTTTAGTATTTGTAAAATAAATACTTTCTTGCAATAAAAGTGAAGTGTCTAGCCATGAAAGTTTATTTTTTCTGCAATTCATTGTAACCTTTTTGCTACTACGCTACTTTAGAAAACGTTGACAATCTGGATAGAATTCGTAAACATTTTGTATTTTTAATAATTTAATAATGATACCAATCCGTTCGTGTGGGTTACGATATCACAATATCGAATAATGTTGTAAAAATCAAGATCTAAAGGTTCAATTAGAGCTGCCATACTCATAACCAAAATTCAAATGATAGATAAGGTTATGTTATGGCCAAGGCATTGTGGTAGCGACAATACTTGGAAAAATCGTTGCCCGAAAAGTTGGTTCGACCAGCTGTTTATATGTTATGGTGATGGGGGCTTTAATTGAACCTTAACATAGTAAAATTTGAGGACTTCTTTTCCCCGACATATTTGAGGGCACTTTCACCAATTGTAAATGCACAGCTCTTTGTACACTATGCAACCCTGAATAGTGCTGAATGTGACTGCATCGCGCACCATCTATCCGTGAAAGTTTTCATAGCTAAACTGATTTTCCTTTACCATGGATTCATCAATTGTGCTCCTCATAAATAGTAATTAAAGAAATATTAACAATAAACAAGAGAATAATTTAAATATTTAATCTTTGGTGTAAAATTTGAATAGACTTCTCAACATGTATGGAAATAATAAATATTGCTGAATCTTTCGCGTTTGTGCTGAATTGACCTCGTCAACACGAAGCGAGACGAAAAACGATAACGATGAGCTCTGAATCCAAATAGGAATTTCAAAATGGCGTCAGTGATTTTTGGTGGAATTTCAGTGTGTGTTTAACTTAGTTTACGCGGTATTTGTGCTGATTAAAATTTAATAATTGTGAGAAAAATAATAAATGTGAAGTGGTTTATCGATAGAAAAACAAAAAATAAATAGGAGCAGATGTGCCTTTACTCTTTTAATTAGTGATAATTCGCTTAAAATGGCGTATGCATGCAAGGAAGCGGAATAACTTTCTTTTTCACAAATTTATAATTTTTACTGCTGGACCAGTACTTGGTTATCTTAAGAAAAGGTGAACAACGTGTTGTTAAATGTTGTAACTTGCACTGCTTGCTGCATTTTGTGACAAGTGGCAAGTGGTACAGTCCGAGTTGGGACGCGTTTTACATTTATTCTAATCGCCAGCGTGGGAACATACGGATCATTTATACATATATTTTGTCATAATTTTTTAAACATCGTTGAAAACGTCAGAAATCACTAGAGTTAAATTTGCCTATGATAAAGTGAAAAAGGCGGGTAAATCGAGAAGACACTCCAAAAATGTGTGCAGCACACAGTAACCCACAACAGGGCTTCGGCTATACTTGGGGATTCGCAGATAATACCCGTACGGAGTCTGTACTGGAGATTCCGGCAAATATAAATTACACAGTCAGCAGTGAATCCGTAAGTGATCAAAACAAAATTGCAATGTCTGATTATGTTTTTCCTTTCAGATAGTTAGCGTGTAGACGCGTTTTTGTTTCGCTACCACCAATGTATTGTTTTTAGAGCCCCACTGTCTCAATTGGTGTCTGTGTACAAGCACACCTTAACTCCCCTTCATATCAATTTCTCATATTCTTGCATACTTGTGCACATAGTGCGTGTACTTTTTGAAAGAAATGCATATACATATGTATATCCATACATACATTTTGTATGCAAGTACTACGGTTTACATGTATGTACCTTGTGTTCATACGTGTAGATGGATGTGTGCGACTATACGTATACGAGGTTTTATGTAACGCCACCATAGTCGTTATCGGCTTCAGTCACACTTTGTCACATGCATGAGTAGTGGACACTATGAACATTGACATTTGTTTTGTATTCAAAACAAGTGTTTGAATTGATAAAGGCTTAATTAAACGAAAACTGAATATGTGGCTACTAATGAGTATATACATACATATATATAATAATATATTGAATCGTAGACTAATTTTAAAATGGCGACTGCATAAATTCGCCTCGCTATTGGCAAATAGTAACGAAGGCGAAGATTTGAGCACAGGGTTGCATTTTTTCGGAGCAACTCGCTTTATTCTGAAATGATAAATGATTACGTATCGTAATACACTTGTGTAGTATTTCAATCAATGTCTGCTGTTTAGCAGCGAAAATAGTATGTGGCAATGAAAAGGCAACACCACACATATCGGTAACAAGTACAAACACTGCTGCATGTATGGTGTTGCTGAATACACACAATGAAACGCATGGTTGGATGTGTTGTGTGTTTTGTGTTGTCGAGTTTTTGGCGCAAAAATATACTGACAAGTCCAATTGTGGGTAAGATGCGCGCTCTCTAGTTTGGGATTGTGTGTGTAAAAGGAGATATGTGTTTGTTTGTTTACATTTTTCTGTTGTAAGTTATTCTAATTGGTATGTTTGGTTTGTAAGCTGTTGCTTTTTTGAGGGGGTGTGTAAGGTCGACCACTCTTGGCGCCAGAATATGTGGAATGTTTTTTCAGAATTATAATACCCAAGTATATATGAAGAGGACAAGTATTACTGAAAAAATGCTAACTTCGTTTGACCCGAGGCTAGAAGGGATCCTTAAAAAACTTTTTATACAAGAAATTGATTTTATTTGGTCTGGTTGTATGGCAGTTATGCGCTATATGAAAAAGTTTTCAAAACAGAATTTGATTCCGATAAATGAGTAGATTTTTGAGGAGAAAAATACGTGTGCCAATTTTCATAAACCTAATCATTTATATATATTTTTATAGGCTTTCAGATATTCCTCTAGGTGTTACAAATTTCGTGGCATACTTATTACTTATTCAGGGCATAAAAAACAGATAAAAACTAACCGCACAGAGTGGAGCCTTATTTACATATGTATGCCTTTTTTTATGATTATACGAGAAAATGGTCCTCAAATTTTGAGATATAGATCTAAAATTTTGCACACATCTTCTCTTCCAGAAGCAGTTCATTTATCAAAACCGCCATAGATAGAAGCTGCCATGCAAACTGAACAAACAAAGCATGCACTTTCAAGACTTTTGTAGCAAAAATGGTACGAATTCCTTTGTGATTTTATAATTCTTAATTTATTCTTTAAAATCTATGACGCCCCTCTCAAAGTAACACTTTGTGTCACTTTTGTTTTGCAGTCATTTTCCGAGTAGCCATTTACGTTAATTGTGTTCATTGACTCAAAACGGTTTACCGGGAGCGGTAGTTTGGTTTTCTGAATAGTCAGAAGTCACACGGAGCAGAATCGACAAATACCGTGGTTGCAGCACGATATTTGTTGAAAATTTGGTGAAAAACTCGCGAAGAATCAATCTAGTATGCAACGGTACATTATCGTAGTGCAAAGAGTTGTTGGTTCATAAAAGTTTTATGATTTTAATTATAAAATTATCTTTTTTTTTAACGGTTTTCAATGAACCTTGCTATATCTAACAATGCCAGTAAGGTCTAAGACTGTTAAATGTCGATTCTAAAGCACCAATTTAATTTATTTTATACTTCAGAAAAAGAAGCGTATACTAAAAACACTATTGATTATTCTGATATGACATTTGACATAGATGTCACTGACAGTCATATCTAGAATAAAGTGTTTTGGCGCTTGGGTGGTGAGGTTCAGGTTAGTTGTCATCTAACGACAGGCTCAAGAAACGAACTGAGGGTTTGTTGGGCATGCTAATCACTAACTCTTTGGTTATACTATATAGACTATTGTCTATATTTCTTCATATGTATAATTGGACGTTGGAAAATTTTGTTTTATATTTGCTGGAATGCTAAATTGATTACTTTTTAGCTACGCAGGGACTATTCCTGAAATTAATAAAAAAAAAAATTTTCAAAAATATTTTCCCTTCTAATGCAAATGTATTCTTATTAACCCAATAATACATTTAGGTGCATTTTAAATAATATATCTTATCTGATTTTATTATTTGCATTTTATATTTAGTATTGCACTAAATAAAAGTATGATTTTGCAGATGCCATATTTGCTATCTACAGATGGCTCTTTAACTGTGCAGAAGGACGTTAAAGGTGGATTGACGGCTCAAAAAGGAGGTGTTGTACGACGTATGTTTGTTGTAAATGAACCATTTGCACCAGGACCACAACGGTAAGTTCATTTTTTTTTCCTTATAAAAGTATTAGACAAGGCATTCCCCCTTAATCTTTTTAAACAATTTAGTAATGTAATTACTAAACTTTTTATGACACCTTAAAGTTAAAATGTTTTGCCAACAAAATTTATCCTATATTAGTAATAAAGCAAATCATTGCATTATATTTTTTTTGCCGAATTCGTATCGAAAAATTTTTGTTCAAAAAATAAAAGAAAAAACTTAACAAAAATTTATATTTTCTTCTATTTCAGGGTCATAACTGCAGGTACTACTACACCATCGGTGGTGAAGAAACAAGACCAACAAGTGCTCAGTATTAACTGCGACAAAAATTGTAAGCATCCAAGTCCATGCACACCAATCGAGTATATTTAATAGTGTTTCAAAACAAACCAAACTATTTGCTTTTGATTTAGACCTACTTGTAGATCAATCAGATCAGTCACACTCTCTGACTAATGGTATCGTCGACACGAAGTCACAGACCATTCTAACGACAACAGCTGGCGCTAAAACGCATTTTAGTCCCATCGGGCCGATTCATCTCACTGCAGAGGAATGCAACGAGATTTTAATGAAACGAGCGCTTGCCGCATCTCAACAGACTCACACGATCACTACTGCAGACGGACATGGGACGACAAGTAAGACTGTAAAAATTTCAAAGAAATTCTAAGCTCCCTCGTCCGTGCCTTTAAACATCGTGTGACGATCTACTTCTCTTTCTACTAATGCATAGGGTTTTGAAAACAAAGACAACAGAAATGCTAACATATTTTGCACTGATCGTTAGAGTTTCGAGTACAAATTAACTTGTCAAATACTTTGTTAGAAAGTGCGTGAAATCAGTTTTTGTTATTTTATATTATTTATTTTGGCACTTCTTTTCGTAATGTGCGATGAAAATGAATTGAAGAAAAGCCCGCCATATTCAAAATTTTTTCTGCATTGTGTGTTTTTTTTTTTTTTTTCAAAAATGTAGCATTTGCGTCTCAGTTACATTTTGAAAATATTGAAATTTACTTTAAACCATAGTTTTACAAAGTTGTCATTATATTATAACATTCAAAATAATAATACAATGGTTTTAATATTGTTTTTGATATTTCTAATTTTTTATCCATTAGGAGAATTAAATCATACATATGTTGGTGTTAATGTGGCTTGGTGTTGGTGCATAAGGTTTTTGTGTGCTTAAATTATTATCATTTATTTTTTTAATTACGCGTATATCATACATATTTTTTTATAGAAGTCATAATCAAATAACTATTTTAGTCACATAAATTGCGCTCTTTGACATGAAATTTATGAGTTATCTTAAATGTAACACTTAAAACAACTTTATGCTATGCATGAAGTATTTATTTTCCTAATCTGGTGATTTGATGTGCGCATTGCCTTAAATATACTGCGTTTACTTAGGAAAATTAGTGATTAGGAATTGTTCCAATAACTCAAATTCTGCAATGGTAACATGAAAATATGTTCTGCTCTGGACAATTCAGATTCTCTTAGGTCAAATGGAAAACAACAATTTTCCTATTTTGAGTATTCCATTCCATAACGGTAATTGGTCTAAGTAAATTATCTAAGAATCTAGTTATTTACTTATATAAATTTATACTCATTTTCATAAATTTTTCTTAAATTAACATTATTTTTAAATGTAATTTTACATTCTGTTCAAAAAAGTCTGGCCTTCATTCACTAAAATATATTCGATCAGTATAGAACTGGACAATTTGTTGCCAAAACGGACAACCGGATCGATTTTTGCAATTGGGTTACTACTGAGCCATCAAACACAATACTAAGACTAACACATTTAAAATCATGACATTAATTTTGTGTTTGGGAAACTACCGAATGAAATTTATTTCTGTGTATTAATTCGCAATTTTCAATATTTTCTTTGATTTCTCTTCCGTCTGTAATGCTCATACTCTCAGGTGACATTCTGCCGGGTATATCGGTACAAGTTCAAAAAGTGATTCAAGGTTTAGAAGAGGCGGATGATTCACAAGGGGATACACCCAACTTGAAGTTGGAGCCCGGTACATTAGAGCTATCTCCAAAAACAGAGTTGCAAGATAACATGAATTATAACGAGGTAAGAGAAAGTTTCGATTGAATATTTGTGTTGTTTCAAGATTGTAGTCATATGTTTTTTTGTACTCAATAGAATGATGCCACAGTTAAGAAGGAGCGACCATACAGTTGCGACGAATGCGGCAAATCGTTTTTATTGAAACATCATTTAACAACACACGCGCGAGTCCACACAGGTATAATTTCTAAAATATAAAATTATATGTTTGATTAAAATTTATAGGCCAAAAATGTATTGTAGGTGAACGGCCGCACGTGTGTGTACATTGTAGTAAGAGCTTTGCTCATAAGCACTGCCTCAATACACATCTGCTGTTGCATTCAACTGATCGGCCGTTTCAGTGTACCGAATGCAAGAAAAGTTTTACTTTGAAGCACCACCTGTTGACACATTCACGTGTTCATAGTCGTGATCGGCCATTTGTATGCCCCGAATGTGGGCGAACGTTCCCATTGAAGCGACATTTAGTGACCCATAGTAAATTTCATGCTGGTGAACGACCATACGTTTGTGAGGAATGTGGCGAAAGTTTTGCTCAGGAGAATCACTTAATAATGCATTCACGGTAAATTCAATAACTTTTAATTAAATGAAAATGTTATTTGTACTATCTTTGTGCTTTCAGTTTCCATGGATCGCTGAATCCATTTGTTTGCCCAGATTGCGGAGCTACATTTCCTCGCAAATTTCAATTGGTCAATCATGGCCGCATTCACGGTAAAGTACCACACTCCTGCACCCTGTGTGGCAAAGAGTTCTTGCAGAAGCGCACGCTGGTTTCACACATGAGGTAATTGCCATTATCACTTATTGTAAATGTAATGTTAAATAATACACCATTTTTTAGGATTCACACCGGCGATCAGCCATATCCTTGCATTAGTTGCGGTGAGGGCTTTATGTCTAAAGCCGAATTAAATCAACATGTGCGTAATACACACGGAGGCGTAAATCCAAACTCTTCAAACACTGCGGTAAGCATTGATAGTATTTCCATATTCTAATTTACTCTTGTGGAAAGAATTTGTTATAAAAACATATACACAATAAATTTTCTATAAGAAGTGCCCTTAGTGGTGATAATATTAGGTTAAGTGGAACATATATTTTCTAGAGTCGTAAGCTTAATTTAATTGCTGGTTTAGTCAAAATCTAAAGTAGTCATACAAAATATGAGAACCTAGTATACATATACAGTGTCGGACAAAACATATTGGACTCATACCTACGAACTACATCATCATCTATCTTGCAATTATCATTTTAAATAATAACTATTTAACACCTTAGACATTTTTTGACTCCATGACATTTTATACGAAAAAAGTAAACATACTCAATATTTAGTGCGTCAAAACATATTGAATAATGATGGTTATTTAATACTTAATAATATATAGATAATGGTTATTTATTAGAAATCAGGCGATTCAGTTGACCACTTTAGGACACTAATATTTTCAGCTACGACCCAATTTACCACTACTTTCGACTTTTGCTTTGGGTGGTTGTCGTGTTGAAGTGATCATAAAAGTGGCATATTCCTCTCGGCATGGGGAAGTATCCCGTTCTCAAAGATATCCATATATATGAAATTATCCATAATTCCATTTATTCAATAAAGAGGTCCAACAACTAACTCGGGAAAAAATGCTGATACTATAATTCCACCTCCACCTTGCTTAATCGTATCTTGGCATTATCGGGGATCTAAACTCTTATTTCTAGTCAGCGAACTCTTCTCATTCCGTCTGAATATCTCAAATTAAATTTTGATTTATCAAAGAAAAGTATTGTTTCCCATCGTTTCACTTACCAGCTGATGTGCTCCCGAGCCAATCATAATCATCTTAGTCGATTTTTTCTAGATAAGGCTTTTTAGCTGTCCTATAACTTGTTAACCCACTTGCACATGCTCTTCTTTGTACAGTACCACTGCTAAGTCTTTAACCACGCTCGTTGCCGACTTATCTGGAAACTTTTTCAGTTCTCTAAGTAGTTTTGAATCGTATTGTCGTGTTCTAGCTTTGCGTTGTCCTCCACGATGGTGAGTTTTCACAGATCCACTGTCCCAAAATTTCTTTATAATAAAGCTTACTGTTGATTTATTGAAATAAAATCTGTTGTTTGAATTAAATATTTGTTTTCAGCCACGACCATAATTTCCAATAATTTCTTCGAAATAAGCGGAATTTTAATCGTGTCAGAACTTTATATGTAAAGTTACTTGGTTAAACTAAAATAATACTTATTTTTTATGTCGTTCAAATTGCATGGAGGATGCAAAATTGTCGGAAAATAACGGGAATTTCGACCTTTATCGCTAAAAATTGCGACTAGTCCAATATGTTTTGTCGCAGCAAATATTTGGTACTTTATTTCGTATAAAATGTAAACTATTAAAAAATTATAAGATTTTTCATTGTTTCTCTAAATAAACAATATACCTTTATATTTAATTACCTTGTTATATCCAAAATTGTAATTTGTTGTACACGAAAAGTTTTTAGCAGTCATAGCCATCAGTCAATTTGTACCAGCGATCTTTTAGTTCTTAAGAGAAAATCAGAAGCATGTGATTAGTATGAGACACATTTTAGTAAAATGGGCATCTTTGTTGTTAGCGAATTTTATACATAAATTAACTTTTGTGAATAGATACATTCTACGCAGCAACATCATACGCAACAACAGACGCAAGGGTCACATCCACAAACCATTACTGTAGTCAGTAATCCAGCGAACCCGGCATTATTATCTGTGGGCGGTGATAATAATGCTGCTCGGCCTCAATTTGGCTGTCGGTATGTATGATTTAGCACCACCAAAAAATAATTTAATAATTTAAACTGAAAATTTCCTGTTCTCGCTTTTGCAGTGAATGTGGAAGTGCCTTTAATAGTAGAGAAGCGTTAGCGCTTCATTTGCGATTACATACAGGTGACAAAAGCCTTATGACTGATTTGTGCGCTTTAACTGCGGCACTGCCTGGCCACTTCCTCAACACCGGCCTTAATCCAGGCGCCACTGTCGTTGCTACCAACCCCAATATAGTGGCTCAGAATACAGTGCCCGTGCAGATCATTTCATCAACCGGACAAGTCATGACACAAACAACATTGGTACAGGCTGCCGCAGCAACGCATCCACAGGGTGTTGTTACTAATGTGCCTGGAGTGATGCATCACCAACAGCCGCAACAGCAACTGACAAATGCAGCGCCACAACAACATCATCCACAGCAACAGCAGGTAACGCCGCCCAAACCAAAGTCACATTTTTGCGCCAGCTGCGGTAAAGGATTTGCCGCTAAGCATGGTCTTATGCAGCATAATCGAAGACATCCTAACGGTGGTTGCACCGTGCGCACACATGTATGCGAGTGCGGCAAGGCATTCTTCCAGAAGAATCACTTGATGCTACATCAGCGTCAGCATTTGGAAACCAAACCGTCAGCTGCTGTCGCTCAACAGCAGCAACAACAGCAACAGCAGCAGCAACAACAACAACAACAACAACAGCAGCAGCAGCAACAACAACAACAGGTGCGTTGATTGCATAGCTAAGCAAAAGATAAACAAAATATAATAAATACAAAAAAGCTGCACAACGCTGTGTAGTCCGCAAAAGAGTAAACCTGCAAAATACGCAAGCCGGCTTTGCAACGCTTCCATTATAATTTTTACACGAGCTCGGTAACGTTACGCTGAGACAAATAACCAACGCTTAACAGCAAGCCAGAATCCTCATATCAAACAACCACGAAATAAAACTGCATACGCAAAATACTAACATAATGGTAAGAAAATAAGTAAATAAAGTTAATAATATACATACATATTTATATAGAGCACTTTTCAAAAGTTGAATGCAATAACTAGACTAGAAAAAACTATCTAGGCTGTCGAAATTTTTGTTAACCTCAAACAAATTGAAATTAATCTTAACCAAACGAGAACTCGCGCAAAGAAAACTTGGCGTTTTATACACAATTTTAATAGTATTTTTTGAGGAAATTAGTGAGAGCAACATTTGATATTGTAAGATTTAACAACATTGTTCCCGTAAAGCGAGCTGGAAAAATAATTAACCCACCCCTTTTTGTTATTACCCGATCATGATTATTTACTGGCTGGTGGACGAATTAGTAATGTAAAACATCTTGTATATTCAAGGTGCAACTATATTACGCAAATTGCAAATAATATTGGTAATAGAGATGTTAAATACAACTTTTTACATAACCTGTAAAGATTTTAAGTCAAGTTCTGCTATTTTGTAAAATGATTTGACTATTTACCTAACAACAACTTTTTACTATAACTATAAGTTGTAAGTACCAGAGAAAGTAGGGTTTTACATTTGGCAAAGGTTGGGATGCACGATTATGTTAATCGTTATTTATTTATGTATGTATATCTATTATATGTTTAATTTGAATTCAAAGTAGAAACAGTTTTTCTTTTTTCCATTTAGGATTTAACACACGAACAGCACAGCCGCTCGCGCAAACAACAACAACCACAATCGGCTATGTTGATAGGCAATCATCAAGCACTGCACCTGCAAGTTTTGCAAGGCACTAATGCAGCTCAAGTTATTAAGTACGAAATAAATATACCACAGGATAATCAAAGTGGTTAAGCGTTGTTAGTGTAGAAATGGTTAATGGTTGATTCATTTTATATTATCTCTAACCCAAAGGACAAATTTCAACATTCATGTGAATGGCGGCTGGGAGGATGTGGGTTCAAATTGTACGGTACACAGTACGGTACTTGTTTCATTCGTTTAAGTTTATTACGTTTTTAGTATTTAAGCTTTATTGTTTCGCTCTTTATTGTGTGCACACATTTCGCAATGACAGTAGAAATTACTAATTGTTTCTATTTGTGTATATATTTGTTCAATTTAACTTAACTATCTATATCAATTGTAATTTTAAGCCCTCAACCAGACGAGCACACATAATTAACAAATTCCTGTTACTAAGCTAATTTACAGGGGAGATACAATTAGTATATGGGTTGGTTACACATTAAGCCGTGCACAATAAAGGATCATGTGTCTGCGTTAGTTATGTTCCGAGTTCTCTTATCCCTCACCTTTGCCCTTTTATATACATACAATATATATGTATAACGATAAGAGTGCTTAGATTATAAATCAGAAAACAATTTCACCTTCATGCCGACATTTTATTATAAATTAAAATGTCTGATTAATACATAGTATATACAGTACATGGAATGTATGTGAAAATATATGCGATTACATACAAAAGAAAACAACAACTAATAATAATATTAAATACATAATCATGTGCTAGCATGACAAAACATAGTTGTATAATATTAGACTTATGTGCATAAGAAATGAATGAATAGTAATAACTAAATATATATTTTATTATAAGCATAAAAAATTAATGAAAAATAAGAATAAAATAAAAAAAACATAAAATATTAAAGTACCTTTATTTTTTCACAAACCCGAATACTTTTGCAACGATGGAGTGCAATTATATTTTATGTTGTATCTCTTACAACTTTCAATCTGTGCTTTGGACAGCAAGCTTTCTATTTATTTTTTCGAAAATCTAAACCCTTAAAAGTAAAATATCTATTAGAGAACAAGAAAATCAAGTAATTTTGGTTCAAAGTTACGAGTTTTTTAATTGAAAAATGTCTCACCATCGGAATTAAAAATTGAAACGTTATTTTTTAGTCCGAAATGATGTTTGGTATTAAAATTTTAAATTTTTATTTTCTAATTTAATAGTGAAAATAGAATATTAAGCTTTTAATTCGAGAATCATAATAAATAATTGATGAACATAAACCGTTGAAATGTGTAGGCATATTCAAGATGATTGCTCTTTGTTTAATGCTTAATTGTTTGTTTGGGATTAAATAGTTTTTAATACCGTATTTGACACAATTTTTCCTTAGTTTATTGTATTTGTTATTAAAAATTTTAAATTATTTTTAATTAAGATATTTGGGTTTAAAATATAAATTACAAATATTAATTCTATTATTTTTTAATTGCATTATACGCAACCCTGTTTTGGATGTACGAGTATAATTAAATTGCGGCATAAATTCTTGAATATGATATTTGTATAAAAATCAATTTGAGTATATTATATTATGTAAATAAATCAGACATTTGTTTTACTACTACAATTAATAAGTAGATATTTGCCTTTTTCGTTGGGTACAATGTTGCATGCATTAGTATGACTTAAAAACGCCACCGATACTACACGGGCTGAAATTTCTTTGGAATAACAATTTGGAGTAACTTTGAGTTCAATATCCAGTCGATGCAGTAATAGCAAGGTCCTATTGCATATTGATTGTTTTATCATGTAAAAGGCAGTCAATTAATTCCATGTGAATTCCAAAAAGCGCTTTGGAAAAGTCGATAATCTTTCATCGGGGAAAAACTGTTAAGCGTGAATCCAGGTTTCATCCATTGTCACAAAGCAAAACGTTTGCTTTTTGATTGATGAGAACTAATTCACTTAATTTCATTTTAAAATCATTCGGAACAAGTTCACGGATTTAAGCGATCTTTTCTGACCTGATGCCTGAGCGGAGAAGAAAATGCAACGAAATTTAATTGACATCGGAATATGCTGGGACAAATTTGCCGTAACACTTAAAAAGTTATTACTTTTTATCAACGATGTTGATCTACCAGAAAACAATATTTAATCAAAGCACGAAATTAGTATTTTTCCATTGTCAACGAAATTGGCTGAGTAGTAGCTTCGCTTTAAAAATAATAATTTCAGATCATTTTGGTAAAACATTATGCAAATTTGGCAATATTGTAATTAAGGTTAAGGTAAGTGCTTTAAGGGGGTAGCCTGGTTTAGAAGCTGCAAAAAATCGATTTTTTTTACTTAAATCTCTTTCAAAATAGCGTAAGAATATGTCACCAAAGCTTAAGATGGGAATTTGAAACATTTTCGAAGCTAGAAGGAAAATAGTGACCGAACGTCTAGCAGATATATAATATAAGCGATTGGGCAGAAAGCGAAAACTTTGACGCGCAATTTCTCGGCTTTTCACTTTTACGTCTTTTCTTAATTGGCGGGCAGGATAAAAAAACAACTAAACGTCGTATGGAATTGGGGCAAAGTTTATTATCTTTGGCATTAAATTTTCTTCTATTTAAACTAAAAAATAAAACTAAGAAAAGTCAAGTTTGAAAATGTTTTTAACAACATAAAGTAAATTTTTTTTTGGTCAAAACCACTTTTTTTCAATTAAAATGTCTTAAATTTTAAATTATTAAAAAAAATGAATCTTTTTGATTTTTTCTGATAGAAATTGCGATCTGCATCTTGCCCGCCGTCCGACAAATGCACATGCGAGATGCATCAGACAATTGCTCCAGAAAGGCAGAATATCAAAGATTTCGTTTCCAAAAAAATGTGAACGATGTTTAAATATATAACTATAAACCCTAGAAATTTCGCTTTTATTACTTATTTCTTTACCTCCCAAAAAATCCTAAAAAAAAATCGATTTTTTGAAGCCTCTAAAGCAGGCTTCCCCCTTTAGGCAAGGTCAAAGCCTTTATTTGTGCGGCAACATCACCAAAGGCCAAAATTATAATATGTACGTAGTCTATGATCACAGCGGGGTTTCGATTCACTGAAAAATTTCACTTCTAAGTTTTCTAACTGAACGCGGTCTTGCTATATGCGGATTAAGATCTCGTTGAGATAGTAAATTGATAAATGTAAAATATGTTAATCTAGACTCCAGATAAGCTATGAATATTTAATGGGTGTTTATGTGTAAACAAGTAATAATAATAAAAAATTCAGATAAAACCTTTATCTTATTTTTAATCGATCATTTTGAATAACCGCTATAAGCTATACGGGATCGATCTGAACAATTCGTTTAGAGATTAGAGCGCTGCTTCGGATAATAATGTGTGAATATGCCTTGCCAAAAAATAAATTTTTCAATAGAGGCACTTGAGTTTAATCGATCTGTTTGCATCTCAGCTATATCTCATAGAGGTCCAATATCAATACCGACAAATGAGTATCTTCTTGGGGAGAAAAGAACGTGTGGAAAATTGCAAATGGATATTTAAACAAGTAAGTAAGGGCTAAGTTCGGGTGTCACCGAATATTTTATACTCTCGCATAAAATACCGTATTTGTGTAAAGTTTTATTCCGCTATCATTATTGGTTTCTAATGTATATATTATACAGAGAAGGCATCAGATGGAATTAAAAATAGCGTTATATTGGAAGAAGGCGTGGTTGTGAACCGATTTCACCCATATTTCGTACATGTCATCTGGGTGTTAAGAAAGTATTATGTACCGAATTTCATTGAAATCGGTTGAGTAGTTCCTGAGATATGGTTTTTGGTCCATAAATGGGCGATACCACGCCCATTTTCAATTTTTAAAAAAGCCTGGGTGCAACTTCCTTCTACCATTTCTTCCGTAAAATTTAGTGTTTCTGACGTTTTTTGTTAGTCGGTTAACGCACTTTTAGTGATTTTCAACATAACCTTTGTATGGGAGGTGGGCGTGGTTATTATCCGATTTBTTYCRTTTTTGARYTGTATATGGAAATGCCTGAAGGAAACGACTSTATAGAGTTTGGTTKACATAGCTATAGTAGTTTCCGAGATATGTACAAAAAACTTAGTAGGGGCGGGGTCACGCCCACTTTTCTAAAAAAATTACGTCAAAATATGCCACTCCCTAATGCGATCCTTTGTGCCAAATTTCACTTTAATATCTTTATTTATGGCTGAGTTATGACACTTTATAGGTTTTCGGTTTTCGACATTTAGTGGGCGTGGCAGTGGGCCGATTTTGCCCATCTTGCATCATGATATCTCACTTTTTACTCAAGTTACAGCTTGCACGGACGGACGGACGGACAGACAGACATCCGGATTTCAACTCTCCTCGTCACCCTGATCACTTTTGTATATATAACCCTATTTCTAACTCTTTTAGTTTTAGGACTTACAAACAACCGTTATGTGAACAAAACTATAATACTCTCTTTAGCAACTTTGTTGCGAGAGTATAAAAAAAAGAAGGAGTAGCTAGCGTATTTAAAGGCAGACGGACGTGGTTACATTAAGTTCAGACAAACTCATATCCTCATCAGAGTATATATTGCAAATTTAGTGTTTTCTTCACTGTATAATCAAAACTTGGTTTTTTTGAAAATAAACACCTGATTCTGCGTTGCCAGCCAGAATTTAATTTTGTTTAATTTTTTGGAGCCGCGCCTTTTATTTCAGGTTATGACAGTTGTTTTGCGCTTTGATCATGAAATATTATAGAAGGTCTATTATCTATGCTCAATGTATTCATATAATTAGTATATTCCTTTATTCACATGAAAACAGGAATATACCAATCTTTTTCTAAATAAATAGAAAACCGTTTTGTCCAACAAAGCATACATACCATGAGCAAGCAAGTAAGTCGTCTCCTGTAAACTTTTTTGTGGATCAGGAGAATTCAACGTATTACTCGAACCGCAAGTGTGTTTAATGGCATTTAAAATCGCAATTTCTAAAATCTCAAAACAGTGTATAAATAACCTTCCATTTATGCCATACATTGGTAATTAGTTCGTTTCCGCATCCTAAAATCACAATGTACATTTACAGTTATTTCACTCCACTGTAGCTGACTATATAAGTACTTATGTAGCTCTGAAAATAGTCAAAGATTTTGAAAGCGCTTCTCGTCTAATCAAATGTAATTGAGTAAATTGTTATGTACTCGCACTCGCTCATGCAAAGCTTCTAATGAAATTTGGCTTTCGGTGTACAACGTCACTTCTTATTGTGTGGCGCTGAGGAGGTTTCGCATACAAAAGCCCATTTGTTGATATACAAATATATAAATACATATGTACATATGTTTAAATGTATGTAGCAATGTGGAAAATTAGATTTAAGTGACCGAGGCCAGCTGCTCGAATCTTAATTAAGCTAGTGAGAATTTGAGCATCGTATGTGTCGTACATACTTACATACATATGTCGGCAAAGTCAACATTTAAATGCGACTTCAAGGTCATATTTGTTTGTTTTCG